CCCACTACGTCTGGATCGCAAACGCCCAATTCCGCAGTAGAGCGTATGTGGTATTCCGCCTCTGTCTAGCTAACGCGCAATAACAGTCAGGAAAGAAGTTGCAAATCTGGCAGACTAACGGCACATCAAAGTTTTGCAGTAAGGAGATGCAGGATTACATGGGGCCGAAAGGGATATTGCACCACGTCTCACTCCCCTACGCGCACCTGCAGTAAGGAGTCGTCGAGCGCAACAACCACACTTTCATGACGAAGGTGCGTGCGCTACTGAAGCAGTCGAGGCTCCCCGCCACCTACAGGCCATACACGATGCATCACGCCGTACACTCTCACAATCTGCTCTCCATTGCGTCCATCACCGGCAATCTGTCATCCCATGTGAAGTCGACGGGCAAGTAGGGGGATACCTCCATGCTCCGCGTGTGGGGCTGTTGTTAATAGTTGAGTTGCAGCCATGGCTAGAGAGAATGTTAAAATAAGTTGCATTCGAGATACATTTGAAGCATATAGTTGGGAAACCCCAACTGAACCTAAGGTGTGTTCAATGCAAGAACAAATTAGAAAGTGGAAGTAAAATCAACAAGAAATGAAACGAAGTCCAAAACTGGCCGAAAAATAATGTAAGAACAAGAAATGAAACTAATCCAAAACTGGCCAAAAATAATGTAAGGCCAAAATAAAAAGCAGAGCGAGCACTAGCCTACTCCAACACACCCCCAGCTAGATGAAGCTCTGAAGAGGAGCGCCTGGCGAACTGGAACACCCCACAGACGTGGAAAGGCGAGAGATTCTAAGAGCGCGCACGTAGAACTGGTGCGTCGCACAAAGGAAGGCCTTCGTGAAGATATCAGCAAGGTTGACATCCGAGGCCACCTTGCAAAGGTGGAGGAAGCCAAACTACACCAGCTCGCGAACGAAGAAGTACCGCACCTCAATGTGCTTGCTGCGAGCGTGATAGACATGTTCCTCAGTGAGATGAATCATGCTTGCACTGTCACAAGTGTCACAGAGGGCTGAGAGTGGCCAAACTCATAAAGAAGAAAGGAGAGCCAACATGCCTCCGGAGCTGCCAACGTGCCAGAGTACAGCTCAGCCTCGCACGAGGAAAGGTAGACGGAGGAGGAGCAAGTGCAGCGCTAGCTGATGAGGCCACTGCCAAGAGTAAAGCCATATTCCTAAGAGGAGCGGCGATCTGGGCGAGATTCAGTGTAGGAAGAGTCAGTGTAACCCGAAAGTACGGGAGGGGCAGAGCCACCAAGCGTGAGGGTGAGATCAGAGGTCACGCGAAGATAACGCATGATGCACTTGGCAACCGCCCAGTGCACGTCAGTGTGGCGGCCTAGGCCGACAAAGCGAGAGAGGACACTGCGGGGGTAAGCAAGGTCGGGGCGAGTGCACATCAAAGCATACACGAGTGACCCAACGAGCTCAGGATATGGCCGCAATTTAGAGGAGGGAGCGGGGTCGACAGGGGCAGTAAGCTGATGATTAGCGGGAAGAGGAGTAGAGACCGGCTTGGCCTGCAACATCTCGAACCGCTCGATGATGGAGTGGATGTAGAAGGATTGAGAGAGAGATGGTGCGCGCAGCATGATCGCGACGAATTTCCATGCCGAGGTAGTGGCGAAGCTGGCTAAGATCCTTGCACAGGAGACGGGCGTGGAGGGCCTTTTTGATGGGGGAAGGTCGACCGGATCTTAAGCGAGGAGCACCAAATCATGATGTAGGCAAGAATGTAAAGGATGTGGGGGAAAGTGCGAATGAAGAGACTGAGGTCGGAAGAGGAGGTGGAGAAGCCAAGAGAGTGAAGAGTGGAGGCGAGCTTGGCATTCCACTCGCGTGGGGCCTGTTTAAGACCATATATTGGGCGCTTCAGCTCCCACATGGAGGGAAGGGGCGAGGAAAGCCACCAGGGCGCTCAAGAAAAAATGCGTTCATGAAGCTCGCCTTGGAGAAAAGCATTGGAGACATCCATGGAATGACACCTAGATCAAGAAAGAGGCGAAGAGTGGGGAGACAGGCAGTGGGTGAGTAAGTGGCAAAGTAGTCAATGCCTTCACGCTAGGTGAATTCGTTGGCGTAGTAACGGGCTTTGAAGACAAGGAGCTCCCCAGTCAACCGTTTCACACGAAAGACCCATTTGCCCTTGACAATGGTGGCGCTAAGGGGGGGGGACAGAGTCAACATAAGAGTTAGCCCTGGTGAATGCCTCACACTCGGCAATGATGGCAGCCATCCACTCAGTGGCATGAAAACTAGACACTGCGTCAGAATAGGACTGAGGGGTGGGAATAACAGCAGTGTCAACGGAGAGAAGAGTGGGAGACTTGCTGAAGTCGCCAATGGTGACACAGAGGAGGGGTGAAACAGGATGAACAGAGAAGAGCTCATCAAATCGATCTTCTGGAAGATCAAGTTTTTGAGAGGGAGAGAGGCGGGCAAAGAGAGCAGAGTGTTGAAAATTGGACATCGCATGGGACATGGATTGGGTGAGGCATGGAGAAGGTGGGGGAGCAGGAGCGGAAGGAAGGATAGCAGAAGGAGGTGTTGAGGGAGAGGGCATGGGAGCCGAAAAGGAAGAGGCAGGAGGAGAGGTGCTGGGGATGACAGCAGAGGGGGGGAGGGGGGGGGGGCGGGGGAGGAGGAGGTAGGCAGGGGAGGCTGAGCAGGGGCAAGAGGAAGGGGAGGAGGAGAGGGCGCATCAGAGGCATCGGATCAAAGTCAGACATCTTGAGGAAGCAAGAGGGTTGGGGGTGGGGGGGAGTGAGGAATGGAGAGCGAGCCTCTTCAAAGATGAGATCTTGACTGCGAATGAGCTGCTGAGAGGAGAGAGCGTAGAAAAGGTAGCCATGACAGTCCGTGTTGATGCCAATGAACGCACAGAGCTACGTCTTTGGAGCGAGCTTCCCACCCTGACGTGCCCGATCAACGGGATTCATGAGGACATGAGCGACACAACCCCACACCCGAAGGGAGCGGGCAGAGGGCTGGCGGCCAGTCCAGAGCTGGAAGGGTGTAATGGAAGGGCGAAGAGGATGAGGGCGAAGGTTAGAAAGAAGAGTGGCATGAAGAAGAGCGTAGCTCCAAAGAGAGTGTGGAGCAAAGGCATGCGTAAGGAGACATCGGGTGAACTCCATGAGAGTGCGAATGCGACGCACGGCAACACCATTCTGTTCAGGAGAATGTGGAAGGGTGGAGGTTTGGCGATAGCCATGAGAGGAGCAGTAAGAGGAGAGAGAATGGTTAAAGAAATCACCACCACCATAAGAGTGGAGGGGCGCGATAGGACGGACAAAGCGAATGCGAGCCTGCTCAGGCCAGCGAATAATGAGGGACGAGTCGTCAAATTTGGCATGGAGGGGATGAACAATGGCAAAGCGAGAATGGTCATCAACGAGAGGAAGAAAGTAGCGGTGACCTTGACGGGAGGCAATAGGGAGGGGACCCCAGAGGTCCATATGCACAAAATCAGGGGGTTCGGGAGAGGCAGAAGGGGAAGAAGGATGAGGAGATTGTGAGAGCTTGGCTTGAACACAAAGGGTGCATGGAGGAGCGGGAGAGGGGGGAAGGGGTGGGAGAGAGGAAGGGAGATCATGAAGCAGCTTCGAAGTGACCATGCTATGAAGGAGGGGGAAATTGAGGTGGCCAAGACGACGATGGAGAAGAAGGGCAAGTTAAGTGAGAGAGCGACAGTCGCAAGAGGAGATGGGAGGGGCAGAAGAAGAGGAAGTGTGATGGACGGATGAGGGGATGGGGACATGGAGGGTGTAGAGGCGAGAGGTAGGAGAAAGGGTGAAACGGACGAGGTCCCGGTCGTGGTAATGAAGGTCACAATCGATTTGACATGCAGGGAAGAGTGCTCGCACACCCAGGCGTTGGAGGGCAGAGAGGGATACGAGGTTATAACGGCAGGAGGGAACATAAAGGCCAGTAACAGTGCCGGAGGGAGAGGCAGGACAGGGAAGAGAGGAGGTGCTAGAGAAAATCGTGGTCATGGTCCCCCAGCCCCATCAATAGAGAGGGGGCGGAGAAAAGAATGAAGGACACTGGCATCACGAAAAACAGAGTCAGTAGCAGCACTGTCAAGGACAGAATCCAAGGTGAAAGGAAGCGAAAGAGGAGTAGCCATAGGACTGGGAGGCTGAGAAACAACGCTATGAAGAGGAGGAGAGAATGGGACGACAAAGCCAGGGTCCATGGGAGGAGAAGCACCTGCTCTCGTGAGATGGCATGGTCACACTAAAAACAGAGGCCAGAGAACCAATACCAGAGGTCACAACAGCAGGCACGTCCTGGGCAGAAGGGCAGCGACACTGATGGGACAGCGAAATCCAAGCAGGGGGGGTGGGGAAGGGGGGGGGGGTTCCAGCGGCAAGTAGGAGAGGTGGTGCAAGGGGAGGAAGGGCAGCGGAGGAAGCGGAGGTTGGGGAAGATAAGGGTAGGAGAGGAGGTACAGTGGCATAAGTATAAGGGCGGGAGCGTAGAGGAAGAGAGGGAAGGGCGAGATTAGGCGCCATCAGGGGGAAGGGATAGCAATGGAGCAGATGTGGGGAGACAAAAGAGGAGGAGGATTAGGGGCGGGGTAGTCAGCTGCTGAGCCGATGAGTGAAGATGTAAGAGGAGGATGATTATGGGCGAAGTAGTCAGCTGCTGAGCTGTTGGTGGGAGACACATGAGGAGGAGGAATAGGGGTGAAGTAGTCAGCTGCTGAGCCATTAGGGGGAGAAATTAGAGGTGGAGGAATAATGGCAGACTAGTCTGCTGCTGCGCCGCAGGAGGGAGAAATTAGAGGCGGAGGAATAGTAGCGGAATAGTCTGCTACTGAGCCGCTGGGGGGGGAAATTAAAGGCAGAGGAATAATGGCAGAGTAGTTTTGCTGCTTTGCCGCTGGGGGGAGAAATTTAAGGCGGAGGAATAACGGCGGAGTAGTCTGCTGCTGCGCCGCTGAGGGGAGAATATGGAGGAGGAGAAGTGTGGAAGAAGAACAACGACGAGACAAAGTCAGCTACCAGCTGCAGCAGATGGGGAGAGGAGAGAGGGGGAGGAAGAGGTGAGGTACGAAGGGGTGGATTGTGGGGAGGGAGGAGCATGGTTACGAAGTGGCAACCAGCAACCAGCAGCCAGCTGCAGCAGATGCGGAGGGGAGGGAGGTGGAGGAAGGGAGGAGAGGCACGAAGGAGAGGGAGGAGAGAAGAGAGGAGCAGGAGGGTGAGAAGGCAAGGAGGTAAGGGTAGGTGGCCGTGAGAAGGGGAGGAGGTAAGGGAGGGCGACCATAAGAAGGTGAGGAGGTAAGGGAGGGCGGCCGTGGGAAGGTGAGGCTGGGCGGCGGGGAGAGTTGCAGCGGTGGGCAGAGCGCACGCGCGACGACGACGAAAAGGGCGTGCGCGCGCGTGACGGTGGCGGGCAGAGCCAGCGAGCACGACGGCGGAGGGCAGAATGCGCGCGCGCGACGACGCGACGAGGCGAGGCAGGGCGCGCGCTATGGCGGGACGGGGCGCGTGGCTAGGGGACAGGGCACGCGACGAGGCAGGGAGGCGGCGGGCGAGGGGTAGGGGGATCCGTGACCTTAAACATGGGAGGCATTTGAAGGTTGAAGTGATAGAAAAAAAAAAAACCGAGTAAATGAGAAGTAGCGCGCCAAATGCCTAAGGCCTGAACCGTACTAAGAGATGTAGATATGAACAAAATGCCAAGGATTAGGCTCGAGATACCATGTTAATAGTTGACTTGCAGCCATGGCCAGAGACAATGGTAGAATAAGTTGCATTCGAGAAAGAGTCGATATATATATTTCAAGCATAGAGTTGGGAAACCCCAACTAGACCTAAGGTGTGTTCAATGCAAGAACAAGTTGCCAAGTGAACCTAAAATGAACCAGAAATGAAACTAAGTCAAAACAAGCCGAAAAAAAAATGGAAGGCCAAAATAAAAACCAGAGCGAACACTAGCCTACTCCAACAGGTGTGTGGTGCAGTTTAACCCCCCTACCTCAACTATCGGAAAAGTCACAAGCCGCACGCGTTGAGTCATTCATCTCGGCATTGGCTACAAGTACAAGGCGTGGATCATCCCCGACCTTCTTAGCAACAAAATCACACATGCGCGCGGCGTTAATGAGCGGCTCACCCTCGCGCAGTTCCTCGCGGATCAAGATACCCTCGGCAAGTTCCCCGACATCGACGCGCACCGCGACGATGCCGACAACGACGAGTCGCCCCCAGGACCTTCAGGAAGCAGTCGCAGGGACCCTGCGCCGCCAGTCCCACCTGAACCAAAGAGCGATGACGACAACGTGCAGGAGGTTGTGAATCAACATCGTCATGACACAACCATCTTTGGGCTACAGCTGTTGGGACTTCACACCGCTACCTCCATGGCTCCATGCATCATCGAGTCGAAAAACCAGCGACATGTACTAACGTGACCATCGAGCACTTCAAGGCATGCTGGGTCGTGCGCGGCTACGACCAACGCCATTGGATCGACTTCGATCAGACCTTTGCCCCAGTCAATCGCCACACCTCCGCTACGGCAAAGCACCCGCCACTCCGCCAGAACGCTTTTCTATATGCGCTGGTGGACGCGGTAATCGGAACAGGCGCATACCTATGGCGAAGGCAACCCACGCGTGTGTCAGCTGAAGAAGTCACTGTACGGGATCAAGCATGCACCAAGGCTCTGGCAGCAGCACCTGTACAAAATTCTACTAGAAATAGGATTGACGCAACTGCCGCACGATCCCGAGTATTGCCTGAATTTATGCGGCGATTACATCTTGCTCGCAGTGTACGTGGACGACTTACTCTACACAGTCACGAGCAACACGCTTCTCGGTCAGTTCGAAAAGAATCAGGGGATGCGCATGGACATCACCACGAACCACGACATGACGCAGTTCCTGGGTCTTATAATCACATGCGTCCCTTAAGCTATTCACATTTCAACTTCCAAGTACGCTAAAAAAATTGGGAAGCAGTTCAATATTCCTCCGGCACCACTCTCAACTCCCTACCGCACACCAGGACCAAACTACAAGCCTGACAACAAAGCCCTGTCCCCCGCAGAACTTTACACCTACCAACAACAACTGTGGTGCATGCTTCGCATCTACGACCTGCAGGCCCGATCTCTCTTACATCGCGAGCCAGCTGTCTCGGTACTCACGCAAACCAACGGCTGAGAATCTTCTGGATCTTCAGTGTGCTTTGCATTTTTTCATCTCCACACCCAATATCGGGCTATCCTACTCCACTCTCACGACTCCCTCGTTCAACCTCATCAGCTACATGGATGCCAATCATGCCGCAGATCCCAAAAATCAATGATCGAGAACGGGCGTCCTGTTTCGACTCAAGCCAACAGGACCTTGAGGAGATAACTGCTGCAACGGGAGCTAGACTACGGGCTAGGCACGGGTGCTCGTGTGATCTCTGCGTTCGTTCGTTCCTTAGTCGTTTCCTTGTGTTCACGCTGCTTGCTAGTTCACGGGGGAAATTGGCAAGAGTTTCACTAGGAAAACATGACAACAAAGGTAGCAACAACATTGGCATCACAGACTACATCAGAGCTAGCTAGGCTGCTGGTCGACCTCCAGCGCAGCACGGCCGACCGCGCTCCAGCGCAGCAGCGCTCGCACCGCTCCAGCGTTGCAGAGTAGCGGTCCGCCAACGTTGCAAGTCCATGGTGTGCCAACGCTGCAGTAAGTCGGCTGCACAGCGTTGCACCCGCAGGACAACGGTGCACCTGCTTCGCAGAAGTGCGCAGCTGGTTGGTGCGCACTTCCCTGTCACGTGCACAGCGCAGACGCCTGGCAGACTCCACGCCAGCGACTGCGCCCACCTGCCACGTCGATCTCGGGATACCACCCCCGAGGTCAGCCTCGCAGACTTCACCCCGGCGACACTCGCGCACATCGGCCGGGTATCCCGGTAGACCGGGCAACCACGCCTGGCCGACCAGCGCAGTCCGTAGCCGGCCACGCATGCCCGGCGTCCCCAGTCCGGCTTCTAGGCGCCCAGGACGCCGTCCAAACCCCCAGGTCGGCGTCCAGACGCCCAGGACGCCGTGCAGACCTCCAGAGCGGCGTCCAGCCTCCCAGGACGCCGACCAGACGCCCAGGTCGGCGTCTGAACTCCCAGGACGCCCAGGTCGGCGTCCTGGCCCCCAGGACGCCGTGCAGGCGCCCACGACGTCGACCAGGCGCCCAGGAAGTCGTACCGACGCCCAGGTCGGCGTCCAGCTTCCCAGGACGCCGTCCAGGCGTCCAGGACGCCAACCAGGCGTCCAGGGCGGCGTCCTCCTGCTCGGCGCCCTCCAGCCAGGCGCCCTCCCGCTCGGCGCCCTTGCAGTGGCCCCCGTGCCCACTGCTGCAGGTCGGCTGCAACCCCCGCACACCCGACCACAAGGTCGGCTCCGCCCGAGCGAGGACGGGGCCACACAACACTCCCGTTGACACTCCCCTGCCGCGTTCACGCTTGGGCCTCCAGCCCACACGGCAGCACTGCTCGGAGAAACGCCCAGCGGCGTGCACACAACACACAGCACGCCGATCACCGCACCAGCCATGCAAGAGGGCATGGCACCTACTGCTGCACGTCGTCGTCGCCGTCGCCCACGTCGGCCAAGCGCACCTGGCCGATTGCGACGGAGCACCGGTTGAAGGCCGGATAGTGCAGCGCCTTCGTCAGGAGGTCAGCCGGCTGCTCGGTGGTTGGGATGTACCTCAGCGAGAACTTCCCGCGCTTCACCATGTGCTGCAGCCAGGCCTGTCGCCGCTCCATGTGCTTGAGGTTGCCCGTCAACCCCTTGCCCTCGGCGACTGTGATGGCCGACTTGTTGTCCACTCGCAGGACAGTCGGCTTCCCGGCGTCCAGCTGCCGGAACTCTGCAAGGAGGAAACAAAGTCGGCGTCCCTCCTTGACAGCTTTAGTGGCCGCCACCTACTCTGATTCGGTCGACGACAGCGTCGCGCACTTAATGCGCTGGCTCGACCAGGAGAATGCGGCCCCTCCGTAGACGAACACGTAGCCACCCGTGCTTGTCCTGTTCTGTTTGTCCCTGGCGTCGTCGGCGTCCACGTAGCCGACCAGCTCGAGCGACTCAGGTCCACCGCCGAACTCCAGGGCGGTGTCACGCATGTTGGCAAGGTAGGCGAGGCAGCGGTCGACCTCGCGCCAGTGCTGGTCGCTCCTCACCGTGAGGCCGCTCCCCAGCTTGCTGCAGGCGAAGGCGATGTCCGGCCTCGTCGTCGTCGCCGCGAACTGCAGCGAGCCGACTTTCTGCCGGTATTCCTCCTCCTGGCGTTCCTGCGCCTCCTCGTCGTCGAAGGTGAGCTCGGCGTAGGCGTTGACCGAGACCGGCGTCTTCAGGGTGCGCCCGGTCTGCTCCTCGTCGATGAAGCGCCTACGCAGCTTGTCGGCGTAGCCCTGCTGGTGCAGCCACAGCTTCCCCGCCGACCTGTCGCGGACGATCTCCAGCCCGAGGTACTTCTGCACCGGCGAGATCTCACGCAGCTCGAAGGCGGCTTCCAGCAGCTCCTTCAGCATCGCGGCGCTGCTGCTGGCGGCGAGTAGGTCGTCGACGTAGACCAGCACCCAGCAGGCCACTCCGTCGTCGCCGACCTTGAAGTAAAGAGCCTCGTCGACCTGGCTCTTCTTCCACCCGGCGCCGACCAGCACATCGTTGAGCGCCAAGTACCACAGCAGCGGCGACTGCTTCAGCCCGTACAGGCTCTTCAGCAGCTTGCACACCCGGCCGGTTCCGTCGTTGAAGTAGTCCGGCTGGGACATGTAGAGCACCCGGTCGAGCTTGCTCTGCAGGGAGGCGTTCTTCATGTCGAGCTGCATAAGGTTAAGGTTGAGGACGGCGACGATGCTGAGGAAGATCCTCAGCGTGACGTAGCTGCCCACTGGCGCGAACGTCTCGTCGTAGTCGGCGCCGTACACCTGCGTGATTCCCCTTGCAGAGCGACAGTCCCGCGGCCCTGAACGTCCTGCAGCGCCCCATTGAAGCCGCGCACGCGCTTGATGGAGCCGCTCGGCTGCAGGTCGACGAAGGCCTCCTTCGTCCCCATCAGGTGGTGCGAGCAGCCGCTGTCGAGCAGGACCACCGCCGGGTTCGCCTGCACAGCCGCTGCCATCGCCTGGAAGTCCTCACCGGCCTTCGGCGCCAGCGAGACGGTCGGCTCCACGACGCCGACCAGCGAGCACGACGCCGCCTTGTCGTCTCGCCCCTTGCCGCCAGCAGAGGAGTCGGCGTCCTTCGCCGAGGTCGACTTGTTCGACTGCTTCTCCTTGCGCGGCTGGTGTCCTCGACGTGGACGACGGCTGGCCGACCTTCCGCGGCCGCCCTTGGCGTCGTCGTCGTCGGTATCGCTGCGGTCGGGGCACTCGAACGAGAGGTGATCGGGGTCGCCGCACAGCAGCATTCCCGACGTCGGCCTCCTCCTCCACGACCGCTATCCTTGGCCGACTTCCTCTTGTCGGCGTCCTTGCTCGGCTTCCAGCCACTGCTACTGCCGCCACCTGACTGCCCATGCTGCCTTGGTCGGCCTCCTTGCTTTGCCGGGGCGACGAAGTTGGCCT